GTGGTATCTACAAACTCTGCCTCATCTTTCTCAATACACATCACACTTTCCAACCTCTCTTTCTTGTTAGCAATAACAGATTCAAAAGTGGTAAACATATCCTCATCCTCATTCACATCATATTCCTGAATATCCTCAAACAACTGTAAACCTTTAAAGTCTTCCTCCATCAACTTCTTCTTTCCTCCAGCCAATCAGCCTACTGTATTAACTGGAGAAGTTAGTTTTCCGAGAGCTTGGAAGCTCCACTATCATCTTCATCATCATCTTCGAATTCTGCCTCAATCTGCTCATCCGCTTCTCTTCTTATTAACTCAGTTAAACGGTTAAAGAATTGATTACCCTCAGATTCCTGCAGCTCCAGCTCTTCTTCTACTTCCGCAGACAACCGGCCCTTTCCCAAAGCTTTATCTCTCAATACAATTGGTACTCGAGGCTGCTGAGTCTTTCCATCTTTACCAATAACTTTCTTATATCCCTCATCTAAAGGTATCTGTACACGCGTGCCATTCCGACCCATAATGTAGTATTTTCCAGTAGCATAATCACCCTTCGCCTTGACTGCTTGGAGCCAGCGCCGACTCAGTAGCAAAGGATATGTAGGACTGTACTCACCAGGAAGAGCATATACTCGCAAATCACATGGTACTCCAGCAATTGTTATCCTCAAATCTGTGCAATAAGAAATCCAGGCCAACACATTTGTTGCAGTATGTATAATCATGCCCTCTGTCCTTACCAACTTTGCATTTATCGACTTCAACAACTGGATTGGCATAAGGTTTACAACCGAACCTGCGTCAACCAAGATTCTTTTAATATGATATTTTCATCGCTTGAGCTCAATAACACCTCTTGTGTATAAGCTTGTAACATTACCAAGATCCCTATCAGTTGCTACCGTAAGAACTCCTTCCTTACCACCACCTGTAGTCTAGATGCCTGTATCCATTAGCACTCTTTTGCCTTTCCCCTTAGGCTTACCTCGTTCGGACCTCTTTGTATGCTCCTGGACTAGCAACCGACAAATATCTTTCTTGACCGCCTGTGCCAAATCAAAAAAAGATCCCCAGTTTAAACCCAAGACTGGAGCATCACAAAATGCTCCAACAAAGTCGAATCTATCCTGACCTACCATCATGCGAATAGGTCTTCACTTTGTCTTTTTGCCTGGCTCCTTCATTGGTTCTGCTCCTGGAGTTACTTCTTCATGTTCCAGAATTCTTTGCCGTTAACTTGCCGGGCCCTCTTCTCCTTCGAACTCTGGTAGCAACTCTTTAAACCGGCGAGTACGCTCTCTAGCCATTACAGGAACTCCCTGCTCCGGAAGGCTATCATCACTATCCTCAGTAATCTCTTCAATAAACACCAGGAGATCCTTACGTTCCTCCGTCACCAGCTTTTCCACTTGAACCTTTACCCCATCCAAAGCCGAAGACATAGCTGCCACCTCCATTGCACTAACTGACTTTTCCTGTTGTTGAGGCTCTATAAACTGTGATGGTTGTAGACCACTACCCCCTGGCAGTCGTATTAGTAGATCCTGCATAAAGTGAACTGCTCTAGCTACTTTATTGAAGTCTCTCAACTTAGGACAATGAGGACAAATATGTCCCTCCTGCCCACAAATATAACAAGTTTGTTTACTACGTGCAGGGTAGTACAACATACCATTTGGTCCAATAATAGGCTCTCTCGAAGGTGTTCCTGTATAAGTTGAACTGGGTGTAATGTGACTTGAAGGCCTATCCATTCTCTCTTCTTGTCGATCTCTCTTAGTTGATAACGCCCCACTCATTACTGGCGAGTAATTTGTATTGCCAAAGTTTTGAACCATTTGACTTGATCGGTATTTTGGAAACTCAGCATGTTGGTTCGTAGAATAACCAGATCTTTGCTGTCAATTGCCGTATTGACCTTGCTGTGGGATATGACTATAAGAACATTCTAAAGCATAGTTATCCAGTGGTATAACATCTTGGTTTTGTCTTAAAGTCATATGTTTATCATCTAAGAAGGGGGGTATCTTAGCCTTCATCAAAGTTTTGACCATTTCCCGCAATTCATCAACATCTTCTCGAATAGAGCTTTCCTTTTGATAGTAATTTCTCTTTCTGGATTTTCTCTTTAATTTTTCCTCAGAATGTCTACCTCTCTTCTCAGATCTCCTAGTAGATCTCTTAGAATACTTGTAATCACTTTCATCATTGGAAACAGAGTAGTTGTCAGAATCCTCAGAGTCCTCGAACTCTTCATCATCACTCTCATCAGAATCATCATCACTCTGTCCCACCTTTCTATAACCTTTTATTTTCAATTGTCTCGCCAACCTCATCACTCCTTTAACAACTTGTGCTGGGCTCTCATTAGAGTTAGATCTCAAGACAGTCAAAATTGCCATCTCCCGGAGATGTTGACTTACCAGCCCATCGATATAGTACTGGATCAAAATCTTATCATATTGTCGTAAATCCTGTGGCTTCCACTGAAGTAATTTAAGAACCTTTTGGGAACAGGCAAACACAGTTTTGTCTCCTTGCTCGATGGTACGCATAATTGAAAGGATATCCTCTTGAGCTTGCCCATCGTATTCGGAATCATGGAACTGCTCAATCAAGGCCTTCATCAAAGCCTCCTCATCCCAGCGAATACTGTCCAGAAGTTGTCGCATAAAATTGCCTGCAACCGATCGAACTGGACAAGTGACATGGATCTGTGCTACTCTCATTCTTCTGGACTGCACTATCTTAACATCAAACTCATCACCCATGGAAGCGAACCAAGATTCCATCCAACTTAAAAGTTCCTTAATACCCAAAGAGCTATTACCAGTAAAGGCAATACGAGGGGATCGTGAATGTGCTATAACTTTAACAGCTGCAGGAAGAGATACCGATCCACTTGATGAACTAGGAAGAACTGGTGATAAGCAATCAAAAAATGTAGGTGGAACGAAATCCCTTTCTAATAGAAGTTGAAACTCAGGACCTGAAGTAGATGGCTCCAAGGCTTTTGACCTTGGAATAGAATACCAGTAACCGTTTCGTTGAAAGTAAAAAGTATTGATGACTTCTGGTGCTGGTGGTGGAGGCCTATCTGACCCCACTTTTTCTTGCTGAAATACTTGGCCTAGACGTTTAGGAATTGGCTCCACCAATGGCAAAGGTGATTGCGAATTCCCTGAAGGTGATGAAGCTGAAGAGTCCAGGATGTCTGCAATGTCCTGTCACACACTCAAAATAGTACCACTTTATCAAAACACAAAAGACTTTAGCAAAAAGAACAAGAACAAACAGTCAAACCGCAAACAGGCCTTGAGGTAAGATGAAACAAGTTGCCAAATTGAACACCAATCCATTTCAGAGCACCAATGTTGGGAGGTCTCCGCTTTCTTCCCTTAGTTGGATGGTGTGTTGGCTGAGTTGTACCTTGTTGGAATAGTTGTTTGATAACCTGACTGGTAAATCGATAAATAGCTTATAGAGAAACTGACTAAAATACCGATGTAGTAAATTTCTTGACACAGGAGAAGCAAACGGGATGAAGTTGAACCCAGTTTGAATGGTGACTGTCCGAGACCAAACTGTTGTGTTGTTGGAGTTGGTTGAACTTGTCTAGCTATGAGGACATGACTGGGCTAGAAATAGAAAAAAAGCACACCCATCGAGACACCTCCTAAACAGGAAATTTTGCAGGGTACAGACCACCCTGTATACACAAACATCCCATCACTTATACCCTAGCCCCACACCGGTACTACAGTAAGCAACCGTACCGGTACCCGTACTTGTAGCGAGACACAGGCACAGGGGAGGTAGCGGTAGTCTACCGGTGGGGAAAGAGTGGATGAGGGCCAGGGAGAAAGCTCTTGCTTTGGTCACGCAGAGGATGGTCAGCTACCAGTACTCGAACTTGTATTTGTACTAGTACAGTAGCAAACAATCCGAGCTTATGCGGCGACTGCTATTGAAAATACCGGCGGTTCGCAAGATACGGGTACACTTGGTCCTCGTGCTAAAGAATTCATTGAGCAGTATCAAACAATTCTTCACCACCATCATCCATAACATTTTCATCCAAACTCCTTCTTTCCCACCGGGTATCATCATTTCCTTCACCCCCTTCCCATTCTCGCAACTCACGATATATGTGTAAGGTTTCTACCCAGCTGTGATAGGGTTATGGTTCTCGAATAGTTTGTACGGTAGCGTACTAGTACACCTTTCCTTCCACGATATTGGTTCCTGACTATCACTTCAACGAGGTTTGCTTATCCTTAGTTCGAAATGGGTATGTTGAGCCCTAACCTTGGCCGTCTCTCTCTGGGCAAACCCCTTGGGACCCCATAAACACGGTGACCAAAGTGTGATACCATTCGGATACAGATGGTTGCGGAGCTACGGACTTTGAACTCAAGAGTTTATATTCTCCTGAACCACAAGTTGGAGTGTTACCTGCTATTCATACAAATGCTAAATTTACTCGTATCTCGGACTTCATGCAGGTAATGTGCCCGGAAGTATCGGCATCCTGTATTATCATCAGTAGTTGGGGAGGGTTGGTGCGAGGCAAATACCGCACTCGAGTACTCGTACTTACACCCTGCAGGACTGTATTATCGGTTCATCTCTCCAATTTGAGTCGTAATCATCTTCAGCTGAAAGGTGCAAGTGTTGTCCTGCGATTGCGGCACACTAAGCAAGATGGGTGGAACCCAAACCTGTATCGGGAGGGATTTCGCCGCGGAGGTTTATGTCAGGAACACAGATACTGGAGCACCGGTACGCACATAGATACCGATATCATAGGCACCTGGCACTAGGGCCCTCAAAATCCGCAGCTTTTTTTGGGCGGGTCTTTTATGGTGTTGTGCTATGGGCCTTGGTGGTGGGTTGCTCTGCGTATTCCACAGTCCGGACTGTGTGTCATAGCTGACTTTCCGACATTCCTTCCTCCCGACATTCCTTGATCTGATCTTGCCTGTATCTCACCAGTTTTATCACACGGCGGAGTGCCGGTTCTTAGGGCGCAAGTACTTGAGGACAGTATTACAAAGGAGGAAGAAGACAAGGGCAGTTGTCCAGCTGAGAAGAAGCCCGAGGTGAAATTTTCTACTGCACGAGCACACCATCCACCAGTCCCTGAGTAACTCAGGGCTTGATGGGGCCCTTGCATCACCCACATTCCAAGATTGCCTACGTCACTCCCCCGCCCATGGAAGTTGGAGCTTAAAGAAAAAGGCTCCCTCACCCCCCCACCCCTCTTTTGAGTCTTGGGCCTCTTTCCCATAATCAGTCTGTCGAAATAATATCTCCGAGCGAAATATGGGGAAATCCAGTAAATATCGTTCTAGTTCACGCTCACCCGAGCGTCGCGATGAGGATGATTATCGTTACGAAAAGCATTCTAAAAAGAGGTACGACGGGGGTTCGGGCCGTGAGTATTCTGGTGACGAGAAGCCTGGTAGGGTCAGAGATGGTGAATATTACCGCGAGAAGGGACATAGGAAACGTGAGAAGGAGGAGAAAAAGGAGAGGAAGCGCAGGGAAAAGGAAAAAGAAGATAGCGGGGAATACGGTAGCCCTGGGCGCCCTCGGAGTCGCGAACGAAGCAGTGAGCGCAGCCGTGAAGAGAGAACGAGGGGATATGGGAATTATGGGTATCCCCCAGCTAACCCTTACGGATACGCAGCACAAGAACAGAATTATCAACCTTCACCTCACGGACAGCATTATGGTGACCAGCCTGGACACGGATACCAAGCTCCACCGCATGAGAGTGGATATCCGGCGACAGGCTCTGAGCACCCAGGTCACCAACCGTCCTCGTACGGACCCGGTGTCTACACTTCGGCCGGGTATCAACCTCCGCCGCCTGCGCAAGGCTACCCACCCGCCTCCCCAGGCTATGGGGGGTTTCAAGGGCCACCAGCACCTCCTCTCTATGCAACGGGAGGCTTCCAAGGATATCCCCCTCCTCCTGGCCCACCCCCCACTTCGCAACAATACGGCGGATATAGCAGCGGAAGTGCACCCTACAGCTATCCTCCACCTCCACCGCAGCAGGAATATGGGGGATACGCGCAAGGAGGGCACGGACAATCGCAGTATCCGGCTCCTCCTCACCAGTCTCCCCACCAACCTCTAAACCACCCCGCTGTCTCACAGGGCGGTCCAGTATATGTATCGTTGCCTCCACCACCAAAAGTCACTGCGGGTGGAGCTACCGCAGGCCAGCACTACAAACCTCAGCATCATTCGGCTCAACAGCAGCAAGCATATTACGGGCACGACTCGGGAACAGTCGACTACCCAACTGGCGGCTCAACAGCTGTTCAATTTGAGAATACTAACCCCGCCAATCCTCATTCCAAACCTTCTGCTGGTTCTGGTGGCTCCGCAGTTTCTGCACTCGAGACCTTTACCGGTGCGCTCACCAGTTCGCTACACTCGTACGCCCGTACTCTTTTCCCTGCCACAAGCGCCCACAAGCCTGTCGCCCAGTATGGTGCCCCGGGCGAGAGCGGAGCCCCGGCTCAGCAAACAGAGAATAGGTTTGACTCGTTTGCCCGGGAAAAGACTGGAAATGGAGTAAAGTGGTATGTTGATGGAAAAGATTATATGTATGCTGTAAGCATTGCCATAGAGAATGCTCATCAGAGCATTTGGATCCTGGACTGTACGTTCTCGAGTTTATCCCAATCATTTTTCGTCAGAGATTAAACTAATATTTCATCGCTAGGGTGGTTGAGTCCTGAGCTCTACCTCCGCCGGCCTCCTAAGCTAAATGAACAATATCGAATCGATGTGATGCTTAAGGCTGCAGCAGAACGCGGAGTTAAGATTAATGTCATCGTGTACAAGGAAGTTACTCAAGCCCTAACACGTAAGTACTTAAAACCTATCCCTTTGCCCTATGTCTCAAACCTCGTTCCCTCAATTCCTTCCCCCAAATCGTTATCCGTTCTTTCCTCTCTTGCCTCGGATGCTGCCCTCCCCTTTGTCTTTGATTCCCTAGAGATGTTAGAAACTAAATATCCCATTTTGCATTCTCGTGAGGCCGGTGGGGTCACCACAGTTAGCTCACATCACACCAAAACATCGCTTGAGAACCTTCACCCCAATATCACTGTATTCAGACATCCCGACCATCTTCCGGATAGGCCAACCATTCAAAGTGACATCTGGAACAAGGTGACTACAGGAACTTATCAGCTAGGAGATGGGCTTAAGGGGTTGTACGGCATGAAGGATGGTGTGACTATGTATTGGGCACACCATGAAAAGCTGTGCCTCGTTGACGGAGAAATTGCATTCATGGGTGGACTGGATTTGTGCTTCGGCCGTTGGGACATGAACCATCACCCAATCGCTGATGCACACCCGAGCGACCTTAGGGCAATTATTTTCCCAGGCCAGGATTATAACAACTCCAGGTGAGTAATCTTTGATTGGTAGTTATGACCGCATACCAACCTATGTTCTATCAAGGTTTATGGATTTCCACACCGTCGACCATTGGGAACAAAACAAGGTCAAGCGCGAGGAGCACTCTAGAATGGGATGGTCTGACGTTGCACTGTCCGTAATCGGTCCTTCTGTGAAGGACCTCCAAAGACATTTCATTGGGCGATGGAATTTCATATACTATAGTAAATACCAAGTGAGGAAACAAGAGAGATTCCAACCGCTTGACGATCGCATACTACATGATAGAGGGCACTACCGACATAAGATAAAAGATAAAGTTCATCATGTTGGAAAGAAGCTCCTCGAAGGTGACGATTATGGCTATGATGAACCGCGGGGCGGTTATGAAGAGGAAAAAGCATACAGTGAGAGGAGACATGACGAAGTGGAGGGCGTACGGTGTCAGATTGTCAGGAGTTCGTCTAAATGGAGTCACGGACTCCCCGCAACAGAGGTGAGCCTCAACTGCTTGTTTTCTAATAGACTTGTGTCCTAACTTATCACAATTTAGCACTCGATTGCACACGCATATATCGAGATAATAAGCGCGGCGACGCACTTTGTCTACATTGAAAACCAGTTCTTCATCACCGCAACAGATGACAAGCAGAACCCCATACTCAACAAGATTGGTCGTGCAATTGTCGATCGAATTCTCCGTGCCGACCGAGAGCACCAGAAATTCAAAATGATAATCGTCATCCCCGCAGTTCCAGCCTTTGCCGGCGACCTTAAGGATGATGGTAGCCTTGGGATCCGGGCAATCATGGAATTCCAATACCGGTCTATCAACAACGACAGAGGCTACTCGATAATGGAGCAAATCGCAAAGGCTGGTGTCGATCCAAAGAAATATATCAGATTCTACAATCTGAGGAGTTACGACCGTATCAACGCTGGCCGTGCAATGGCTGCGGGCGAGGCAAGCTCCGGTGTAAGTTACCCTGCCGCGGCAGAAGGCCACGACCAGCAGGTCGGCGGAACCTATGGAGCTTATGGATACGGCAATGTCGGTGGCGACGAATACAACCGATACCAGCAATCCGCTCCGCGCTCCTCCGTCGGCCCGGAGTGGGACTCGGTCTCCCAATGTTCTATGCTCGGCGGCGGCGACATCCGCTCAGCGCCCTGGGACGGCGACCCCCAGCAAGAACTCGACGCCTTCGTTTCCGAGGAGCTTTACGCGCACTCCAAACTCCTAATAGCAGATGACAGGATTGTAATCTGCGGATCTGCGAACCTAAACGACAGGTCCCAACTCGGCGACCACGACAGCGAGATCGCGATAATAATCGAAGACCCCACACCCCTTCCGTCGCTAATGGATAACAAACCCTACAAAGCCTCGCACTTCGCCGCAACCCTCCGCCGCCAAATCTTCCGAAAACATCTCGGCTTGATCCCCGCCGCGAACCTCACAACCGTGGATGAGAACATGCACCCAGTTCCCATACCGAACATCTACGACTTTGACTCGCAGGAGGACCTGATGGTGACAGACCCACTCTCAGAAACCTTCGAGAACTTCTGGAATTACACTGCACGCGCCAACACCGCTGCCTTCGAAAAGGTCTTCCACGTCGTGCCCACGGATAAAGTGGCGAATTGGAAGGAGTACGACGAGTACTGGGGTAAGCACTTTCGTGTCCCCCCCGGTGAGAATCAGCAGCCGAAGATCAAGTGGGGGCACGTCGTCCGGGATGAGTTCAACCCCGATCCTATGGTTGCAGTTGGTGAGATTAAGGGTGTGCTTGCGACGGTTCGCGGACACCTTGTGGAGATGCCATTGGGGTTTTTGAGGGAGGAGGATATTGCCAAGGAGGGGTTGGGATGTAAGTTTCTTCTCTCTCGTATTGCTTGCAATTGAAGTATGCGAGTACTAATATATGCTTGGGGGCTCAGTAAACGCGATCACAGAGAGTCTGTATACCTAAGATATCTTGTGTTTATGACTATGAGAGGAAGGTGGATATTTATGTTACCAATTAGTTGTGTTTTGTTTATCCAACTCGCTCCTGTACCATCACCGCTCCTCCCAAAGGGGTTGTCTTGCCTTCTCTGCGAAAGTGTGATAGTCCGTGGATAAGTCAGTGCCGTGTATTCCACAGGGAATAAAACCAAAAGCCCGGCAGCCAAACTCGCATGTCGTCACCATGCAAGCCCGGGGCTGGGAGCCAAGCACTGTACTCACTCCAACCTCAATACTCCCACGCGAGCAATCCCCAACCAACATTCTTGACCAGATTGAGCCGTGAGTATTTGTGTCTAAGATGTAATTGATACTCTCCTGCGAAAGGATTGGTACTCGAGTAGCGGAGATGCAAGAGCCGAAGATGTGGAGAAATGAGCGGAGACAAGTTTAGCTTAAAAGCAGCTCTGAAGGAGACGGATGATGATACCGGTAGGTTCATGACATGAGTTACCCACTTCCTTCAAACCCCAGGATGGTCCACGACGACGGCCCCGTCGTTAACATACCGGTATCGGTATCGCTTGGTGCCTGTTTTCCCGCACGGCATGAACCGCAGAGCAATAACTACGAGTATCCACACCATCCACAAAGCTCCCTTTGCACAACATTCCTGACCCCGCTTCTCGCCCTTCCATCCAAGAATGCCGGTAGGCCGTCCAACACACACGAGTCTCGACATTCTGCGATTATCCGGCACACCGAGCTTGGAACGCTACAAGTGTGCTGGAATGGCCCTCCTCGCGGGATGAAACACCATGGCTGGCACCCTGCACCCCGAAGTCCGCTGCTGAAAAACACGACCCCCCCCCCCCAAATACGCTAGCGAGCGCCATTGTTGAGTGCTCGAATAGTCTAGCAGTGGAAGATACGACTAGGGTAAAGTTCTGGTTCCACTTGAGGTTGGATATACCTGGAAGTTTGAATCGAAACGTGAGCTCACTTTCATGATACCGGTAGCTCACTTTGGACGACACTAGTTTTTATGTCCTTCTTTTGTTTATGTTTTGTTTTTGGGGGTTCACCGGTATCTCCCAAGGATTATTCCTGCATGTAATGGGTTACGCCCTCGGGCCCCACGAGTAATAGGGAGTGCGAAATGTTTGTCATGTGCCTAACAAAAAAAGAACAAAAAGTTATTTACGTCATTGAATGGGCTTTCATGATTTTACCCATGCGTGCCCTGGGTCATTGAGGCACCCCGTTAGCAACCGCCTTAACTGTATGGCTTTACAGTAATCAGGCTTAAGTTGGGTTCGGGGGTGCTTTGAGGGACCATGAAATGATACCGACGGTCTCTTTGCCCAGACGAAAAATATCCATCGCTACCCTCAATATGCGAGGGGGCCGTACGATACTCAGTGATAATGTCTGCAGCTACTCGTGTACCATAGTATCACATCGTTCTTGAGCAATAGAAACCGTTGTCAGGCTTCAAACTCAGTGACTGACTACTCTTTTGACCACTTTTCCACTCCCTGAGTGCATAACGCTCCCGGAGCTTGCCGAGGCAAAGGAGAGACCTAAATCACATCGTCAGTGAAAGACCCAATACCGGTAACTTGGTAGCAGCGGTGAGCTATAATAAAGTATCGTACTCGACCTCTGAAGGCCATGTTGTTGGAAATTACGTTATTCCATTCCTATCCGGTGATGGGGCTGTGTTGGTCATGTGACACAGCCACATGACTGAGTATATATACTATTGTATTCTAGCATCTTCTAGAGATTTCCTTGGTATGAGGCAGTACTCGTGTAATGATAAAGGGGTATATAAATGGCAGGCTCAACCCTGTTCTTAAAAAGAGCGCGCAAACTTGGATTAATCTTTAAGTCTTCAGATTGTATTGTGGTTATCATTGTTACTTTGTTATCACAACATTTAGTACAATAGATACAAATATTTTCAACATCCTCCTACCTCAGTAGTAACTGCACCACTTCCTCTGTGGATATTAAGGAGGGAGAAGCAGCGTTCCTGTGCGAGGTCAGCATACGGGTTGGAAGTTCGGATTTCATTTTTTCTTATGGGATGATCAGGGTCCAATTGAGTGTGGTGAAGGTTGAAGTCATCCACCACCAGGATGGAAAAATCTAGGTCAGAGAAAGCCTCCTCCAGGGAGATATTATGGGATAGCGAGGTGAACATTCAAAAGAAATAAAGGTTGAGAACATTGAACCTGGTATGGAAGGAGTCAAAGAGACTTAAGTGGATGTAGATGTCGACTGCTATGAGGGAAAGGTGAACAAAAAAACTCAGGAACCAATGAAACAACATTAAAAAATAACTGTTGGGCAAAAAAACAGCCCCTTGTGGTCTTTCTCCCAGTGAGGCTAGAGGGGCAAAAGACTTGAAATGGGCAAAGTGTGGGGATTTTTCACAAAAAAAGAGGGGTCTTGAAGGACAACAAGAGTAGAAGGAGAGGATAAAGCAACCAAAGCATTAAAGAGGGAAAGAAACACATTCCAGCTTCCCAGGCAGTTGCGTGGAATGAGAGAAAAGAGCTACTACTCTGAGGAGAAGTAATAGAAACCAGGAAAGAAGGAGGAATCAAGTGGTTATTACACATTACTGGGATGAACCCACCGGCAACTTGGAAACAGGAGTGGGAGTTGCCTCCTCCTGGGATTGGGAGGGGCCTGCTCCTTGAGGGTGGGAAGGAGAACTAGGGAAGGGAAATGATCTACCTGATAGTCTAAATGGGGTTTTAAGCAGAAGGTTGGAGAGTGCTTCGTGGGAGAGATCATCCCTGAGATCCAAGAAAGAAGCAAGGCATTGGGGCCAAAATGGTCCTGAGAAAGGACGCTCTCCTCCATAATCCGGCATATCCATCTCTTCCTCCACTAGGGGAGGAGATACTACTGGAGGTAGGAAGAAGATTGTGAATGTTGAGAGCATGACTGGTCGAAGGCTAGGTAGGTGGAAGCACAATTAGGATAGCAGGAAACAGAGGTGAAACATATCGGGTTCTGGTAGCGGTGAGCTGCCTTGGTGTGGCTGAGGGCACAAATGGAGCGGATGGAGTGGTCCTGTACTATAGGTCCTTTTTTTCATTTTATATTTTATTTTATAATCATATATTCTTTGTTAAGGTACAAGAACTCGCATGGAGTGCTAGCTATGGTGTAAACAAAACCTTAATCCCAAACAAATAATAATAAAGGAAACCAAACTAGAGCCTCAAAACTTCACGACCAACCAATATCCCAAGGTGCATAAAGTTAAATATAAAGGGAAATATTCAAACAAAATCAAAGGAAACAGTAACCACTAAGGAAACAAAACAAGGACCCTTCTAACAACTGAAACTAACCTAAGTATAGAGTAGAAGATAGGGTGGATGACCTGCTAGTGGGTCAAGTTAGAGGATTGGGATCTGTGAATGTAGGTATCTTAGGAGGAAAACTAGTCCAGGTGGAGGAAATGTAGGAAGACAGGCTACCTAGGAGGACCAGTGTTGACTAGAGGAGTTCGTCTTCTCCCAGGCTCTCAACCTCCAGGAGGTAGAGGTCTCTAGTATGGACTGGGGAATGCCAGGTGAGGATAGCGTGATGGAAAGTCTCAGCCTCCATCACACAGTACAGACAGATGTCAGAGGCTTCCACATTCCTCCAGGATCAGTGACCAGCCAGGTAGCTCTTGCCTGATCTCATCTAATAGATTCATCCAGCTATAAACTTGCCCAGCCCTATGAAGATATGTGGCGAGAGTATGGGAGAGTACATGTAGTGGAGAGGGGGTAGATATTGCTTTGCTCAGGTATTAAGGAGTAATTACCTGCAGCCTTTTTTGATGGCAAGAAATAGGGGGTCGCCAGAGGCTATTGGGGGTAAAAGTCAGGGGAAGAGGATATCAAATACTAAGAGGACATGGAGAAGATGGCCTAGCAGTTTGACTACCTTGTAGGCTATATCGTCTAGTGAGAGATATCTTCTCACCGTAGGGGAAGGTTCAGGAGTTCTCTATTTCAGTAGTCTGAACTGTGGCGAAAGACCTATTGTATAACCGGTCTCGGTTATTGGTTTTGTTTTATGTTTTGTTTTAAGTATCGCTTTGATACTGGGTTTGTTTTAAGTATCGTTTGATACTTGGTTTTGTTTTATGTTTTGTTTTAAGTATCGCCTTAATACTTAATTAGTTTCACCAAAGAGTATCAGTTGATACTTTTGATTAGTTTCATTCATGCTAGACATGAACAGATTTGTGTATTTAAAGACTGCCTGTTTCTACGACAGAAACAGCAGACTTCGACAGACAGTATTTCAATATACTTGGTTGAACTGTTACTTCTTTGGTCCTTAGTACACCCTCGAAGCCTTCTTTAGTTCTCAGCTCTCGCCTCCTCTCTGGAAGAGCAGGCCACCTGCTGTAACGTGTTCGCAGGGTGCTAATCACGTTAACGATAAAGATACGATAGTTGGTAGGTGGCCTGCTCTTCCAGAGAGGAGGTGAGAGCTAAGAACTAAAGGAGGCTTCGAGGGTGTAGTGAGGAACAAAGAAGTAACCGTTCAACCAAGTATATTGAAATACTGTCTGTCGAAGTCTGCCTTTTCAATCATAGAAACAGGCGGTCTTTAAATACACAAATCTGTTCATGTCTAGCATGAACGAAACTAATCAAAGGTACCAATTGATACTCTTTGGTAAAACTCCTTAAGTATCAAAACGATACTTAAAACAAAACATAAAACAAAACCAAGTATCAGACGATACTTAAAACAAACCAAGTATCGAAGCGATACTTAAAACAAAACATAAAACAAAACCAATAACCGAGTACCCGTACCGGTTACATTCCCCAAAACAAAACAACTGTTTAAACAAACAAAACCTAATAATCATCAAAATTGGATTCCGAGAAGCTCATGGCCTCAGTTTCCGCAAGAAATTCTTCATCATAAGTATCACACCAGGGGCAGGAAGAAACCCTAAGGAAATACTTAGACTCAAAGAAATGTAAATCACAGGAGTCACAAATACCAGATTCGCGTTGTACATCAACCCAAGCATGATTGCAATCAGGACAGTAATCTATCCAGAGGATTTCGAAATAGTC